AACTGCCACCATTGGCACGTGCTGCCCAATCCTGCATTTAGCACCCCACAATTACTCATTGAAAATTGACTGAGCCATCATTTGACCAAATCAATTTTGTAGGAGCTGAGATATGAAGTATTAAAAAGGATCATTTGGAAGTTTTTACAGGCCTTTGAAGAAATGCGTTGTTGCCTGGCAACACTGAAGTGGTAGAATTAAACACGTCATATCTCAGCTTTTACTGAACGTAGTTGGTCAATTGATGCATGTAGTTCATTGATTCCTAATGAGTTGTACTTTCAATTTGTGGAAGCTGTAAGATGCAGGGATGTGCGGAAGGAGGGAATATGACAATTATGACCGTTACTGTGGGACAACGTATGTTAAATCCAACCGTACCAAGTGTGAGAAAAATGGCTGTACAAAATTGTGATATCGTCAACTGGAAATATTTCAAAAATTTACAATTTTCTGTTATTCTAAAGCCTTAGAAATGACAGGATATTCCATATTTTCCTGTACTCGAATCCGGCAAAACCACCTGTGCGCGCTATTGATTGACATTCTTCTCTTCCATTAATCTGTTGATTCGGAGGACTCCTGCGAAAAAAAAAAGAATCAGAAAAAACCAAATGTGAGGTCCTGATTCTGAAACGTATTGAGTAACATGCAAAGATGGTAACCCGTTTGAAAAAAGATTTACATAAAGAAAATGGTTGGCTCGTGTAAAATGCTTGGAAAAGTGGAGCTATCTCATAGTGAATTCATGCCTTTTTGTTTGAAAATTTTCAACTGTGGGGAGACTATGAAAAATTTGCTTCTTCATTATACTCTATTCCAGTCAAGAATTCCAATTTTTTATAACGGCGAGTGGACAAATTTCAACCTAAGGAGTGGAGGACGTGTTCAATCCACCAATCACAACACCAGAAAATCTAAATTTGTCCACTCACCGTTATCAAAAATGGAATTCTTAACTGGAAAAGAGTATACTCTTACTCTCATTTTCAAGTCGTTTTATCGCCTCCGCTTCTTTTTGGTCTTTTTCTGCCAGTAGATTTTCCAAATTTACTTCCGCTTCATTTTCTCCAAGAGCTTTCTTCGCTTGTTCTTCTTTTGCTCGTTTTTCTTTGGCACTCCTTCGCTTTTCTTCTATCAGAGCATTTTGCTTGGCGTTGGCATTTCCTGCCATCATGATAATATCTACAAATAAGAAAACGTCATATTTGATAGGTGTTCGATATTATTTCCTTCAGTTATTATAGGTACTTACGTAACTAGAAAGACTCTACAGCCAACTAAAACAGTATCTGATTGTTTGTGTAATGACCGATGATTGGAGTATTTTTGTTGAGTGCTACGTATTAATTGAACCCGTGAAATGAAGAATGGCCTAAATCTACCTCTTCCACTATTTTCATTCCTCCAACTTCCTCTAGATTCTATAGAAATTTCATTTTTCTAGCTCTCACCCAGCCCGAACTATTACAAATTTATTGGAACCATATTCACCAAAAATTGATTGAAATCCAAACAAGTAAGTTGGTTTTGTTGAAGAAGGTTTTCAAAACAAACTGCAAAAAGTCACATCCCTCTATTTTTAGTAGAAGTCAAGTATGCAGCTATTCGAAATCTTGTTAAATAGACCAAATTTTAAGAAACGGACTTACAATGGAGTAACAGGAAGGGTGAGGGGATACTTGTAATACACTTTGATACTATGAAGAAAATATCTATTCTACGAGGAGTAAGGTCACTTGGTCGTAATAGGATAGCTGCCCTCTATGTTGGAAAAAAATGAAATGAAAAGGTACTCAAGTTGGACTGTCACTAAGACTAATACTTTGACATCTTCCTTCCTCAAAGGTTTAAGTTTAATTAAGTCAGCTAGCTTTGTAGAGGAGAATTGTTGGAACGAATTGCAAAAAAATCGCACCTCTATCTTTCATAGAACTTGACTTGCAGCTATTGGAAATCTTTACAATCGTTTTTCTCAAGACAATTGTTTCCAACTTAGGTCCTTCTTTTTTTCACGGGTTCAATTCTGACCAAAAATTATGTTATGTCAAACTCGTGTCTATACTCAGCTACTACAATTCATAGTAACCTCTTTCTTGTAATCTCAATACATTGTTTTCATGTACTCAAGTTATACCAGATTTGACTGAAATATAAGAGTGATTTACTTACAGTTCATGCAGTATGTTTGTTTCAGCTTCTGTATTTCTTCTGGAAATCAGATTGCAAATATTCCTGGTAGGGTTATTGATCCAAGATAACAGGTTTTAAGATAATAAATATTTCATAATAAGAACTGATGATAAACTTTCCAAACTGAGATTTTCACTTTCATAAAAAAACATTTAGATATAATAATTGTGCATATTTCCACCTTCAATAATCTAGATTGCCACTTTTAAGAGGTTGTTTAAAAAGAAACCCTTCTGTTAGATTTGGTCTGCTTGCGGCAGCAAATGATGGGACATACATAAACATATGTAATTGTTCGTTTTTACTTTTCTTTTTTCTCTCAATTTACCCAAATTTTGTGGTATCAACAATAAAACATTGGAAAATACATATAATGTATTTTTTTGCTGGTATTGAGTGATGCAGGTTCAGAAAATACATATTAAATCGTGTTACCAACAATTTTATCCTCGGGAGGAACTATACGCGAAAACTGCAGCCGCCGGAGAGCCTTATTAATATGACCTGAAAAAAGTTGATGATGAGAATATATTTTTTACTCTTCGGGTCGATGGAATCTGTTGAATTCTCGAGAATTATGAGATCTCATGCATGATAACTGATGAGGGACTGAAGAGAGGAGAACTAGGCAGATCTTGAATCGACTCTCGAAGTTTATCACCTTTGAAATCTTAATACCTACGAATGCTTCTTCTTCATCAAACGGTATTTCATGTTCTTTCGAAACTGTATCGTTGAAGTCTTGCAACATTTCCAATGATGTAGCTCTTACATATTCAAAAACTGAAATTCATTAAAGATTGTATGTACTTGCTGATGAAGTAGAAAATGTCAAGGAACTCTAGTCAGGTCCATAGCAAGACAAAAATATTTTAAAAATCATATA